CATTAAGTTCGCCGGTACCCATTTATACACCTGGGTGGAGAGAGGCACTGTGAGAGTAAAGTGTCTTGCCCAAGAACACAACGCAATGTCTCCGGCCAGCGCTCGATCCGGAGAAGAGCGCACTAACCATGAGGCCACCGCACCTCCCTAACGTACAGGAGATGCACATTTCTAATCCGGCCTGTAGTATGAAGACCCTTCTCAGAAAAACGAAACCAGCTGAATGGAAAGTTTTCTTCAATTTGAAACGCTGCCTGGATTGCTTACTAGAGATATTAGAGTCCAGTTTGCTCTTTTTTGAGGGTAGTGATGGACTAACAAGCAAACTAGACAGGTGTATAAATCAGGTTTTTTCTAAGCTAAAATAACTAATAAATAAGTATTATATTTGCTCCTAGCCACCTTCGTCCATATTACAAAACCTGTATCCACCCTTAAAGAAGCTCAGTCACGGCATTTTGAGTGATTTTAGCCACGTGCAAAATTACCTTGGAAACGAAGGGAAACGTAAAATAGTAGTTTACTAAGATATAAAAACACCAAAGAAATAAATGGAAAAAATAACGAATGTAATCAATAAATGAAATTTTTCATTTCTACTATCATTCCGTTATAGGTCAGAACTTACAGCTTCCTAGCGTTAGTAAACATTGCTGCGTGTCCATTGGAAAATTCACCAACTTCATTTCGCAGGAAGCCACAATCTTCACCCTGCAAAAGACGACAAACACTAATTCATTTCTTATATAATACACCAAATAACTCTTACCTTTTAAGGTAACATGGAGGAGTAAAAGACAGGGCTCTGACGCATCAAGCGCGATACACGCGCGACGAGCGAGACTAGCGCGTGTCACGCGAAACCAGCGCGACCAGCGCGAGTCACTTGAGGCCAGCGCGATAAACGCTAAAACTAGCACGAGATACGCCAACGTAGCGCGATGTACGCGTTACCAGATACAAGGTTCGTGTTTGTGTCGTTGTCCCCATCAGGTGTCTCACAAGTTCGACTAAGTATATTTCAAGCCCGTTTATTTAAATTCTAAACTCACCCCTTAGAGTAGAAAACTGACCCATCTGGGTAGACGAAAAAGGCGCTTTGCGCTTCCGAGTCCTTGAGTCGAAGATCTGATTGTCTGGCGTCGCTGATGTAAGTGTCTGGAGTCCACGCATGCTCTACAGTGGACCCCTTCAGCTGTATGGTGTCTTGGGATTTATTCGCTAATCGTTCGTCAGTCCAGTAGTGACGAAAATAACCAAATATGGCATACTCCTATCACGGAGAAAGAAACGAAGTTTGTTTACCATTTACACGGAGAAACTGGTTCGTCAACGGTTGATGCAAATGGTAAGCAAAAATGTCTGATGGTAAGTTCCGTTCGGATTGGCCATTTACCGTTTACTCAAAAAAAACAAACAAACAAAAAAAAAACATTTAACCGAGAGAGAGACTAGAACGACTTCAACCTGAACATAATTTCAAGATGATGGTGAAACATTGCAAATGGTAAGCATATTTTCCACTCGGATATTTCTGTTGGAAATTTTTGGACTACCTTTCGAGACATTTCGTTTATTTTGAAAATTCCCTGGTCGGTCGAGCCAAAATTGTCTTACCATTTCCAGTCTGACCGAAATTTCCGGAATTTTGGGGTAAATGGAAAACAACCAAAGATTCATGTTAACCAACGATTCATATTAAATCATCATTCCTATAAAAAGCTTAGTACACTAAAACACCTAAGTTAACAATGACTCGAATCAAGGTGCAGAACACTTTATGATGTTTTATTTACAGTGAACAGTGACTCGTACTGTGGTATATAAGTTTTATTGCAAATTTTGAAATACCACAAATTGTGAAACAAAGAATCTAATTTTCCAAGTACAGCTGAACCCCACCGATTTGAACTAGGTTATTTCGAATTCCCAGTAAATTTTAACCCAAACCATTTTTCTTGGATTTATTATCGCCTATTTCAAACTCCCTCTATTTCAAACTAATTTTCGTTTCCCCTGAGAGTTCGAAATAGCGGAGTCCAAGTATAATAACTTAAATTAACAATAAATTAACAATAATAAATTAAATTCGGCACATCATATACTTGAGATACACACGTAAATGACAATACAGTGCCCCGCTGTTAATTTTGTCTGCATGTTTACCTCTAAAAGTTACTTTGCAAACAATTCATAAAAAATCAAGACATGTCAGTTTTGACAAGTGAAAGAGTTTAAATATAAAAATCCTAAATTACTTTTAGCAGAGGTCAACCTCCCGCTGATGAACACTTAAAATACTGTCGAGAAATTGGAAACTAAATTTGTACGATCCCCTACTACAGTGGAACCCCGCTTTACGGCCACCCGGTTAATACGGCCACCTCGTTACTAGGGCCAGATTTTGAAGGCCCGTTGGTGACTGGATTAACGGGTACCCCTGTATTTAGACCCCAAATTGCAAATACAGAACTACCACCTGTCTTGCAAATGATATGACCTTGCTTTTTGCATAAGATTCCAAACATAACTGGCCAGAAACGGCAAAGGCGAAACTGTAGAGACACTGGGCGCGCGGTGAAAGGCGACCCGAAGAAAAACACTTGCTTAAAAACTGAACTGTAGCGATCAAAATGCTTACCATGTTGGCCTCGGCAATGTTCGCGAATGATTCCACATACAAGTCTACTTTCACTAACAACGGCCCAACTGGAAGAAAAGATTGCCGGATATGATACAAATGTTTGTAAGTTTATAAAGTGAAGTTGGTATGGGTCGTATTATTAATAATAAGTCGCAATGGAAACTGCTTGTTGAAAAAATTTCAGTGTATAATTATCACTCTTATCATATTATCTATTATGCGGCAGGCATCGTTTCTGTTTTTCATACGTTCTAGAATTATTCTCTAATCATCTCTTTAAGCTTTCGTGCAATTAAAATGGCATTCCCCGTGGGGAAGGAAGGA